TAGCTGAAAATTCCTATATTAAAAAAGAGGAAGATCTAAAATTAATAACCTAAACTTCTACCTTAAGACATTAGAAAAGAAGAGCACACTAAACCCAAAGCAAGTAGAAGAAAGGAAATAATCAAATAGAAAAACAACAGAGAAATTCAACAAAACCAAAAAGTTAGTTCTTAAAACTATCAATCAAATTGACAAACTCTAGCTACACTGACCAAGAAAAAAAGAGAACACTCAAATTAGTAAAATAAGGAAAGAAAGAGCGGTCATTACTACTGAATTTACATAAGTAAAAAGGATTATAAGTGAATACTATGAACAACGGTATGCTAATAAACTAGATAAGCTAGATAAAATGGACAATTTCCTAGAAAAATGCAAACTACTGAAATAGACTCAAGGAAAAATATAAATATGAATAGATCTATGAAAAATAAAAAGACTGAATTTTCCAACAAAGAAGCCCAAGCCCAGATGGCTTCACTGTTAAATTCTCATAAATGTTTAAAGGATTAATACTAACACTTCACAAACACTTGTAAAACAATAAGAGGGGAAAACCCCAACTGCTCATTCTGTGAGCCCAGTATTACCCAGATACCAAAAGCAGACAAACACATCTCAGGAAAACAGACCCATATCCCTGATGAATCCAGGCACAAAAATCTTCAAAAATAAGTTAACAAACTAAATCTAGCACCATATAAAAAAGAATTACGGACCAGGACCAAGCGGGATTGATTGCAGGGTTGTGAGGTTTCAACATGTAAAAACTAAATTAATCAACATAATACACCATATTAATAGAATAAAGGACAAAATTCATGTTATATCAATAAATGCAGAAAAAATGTTACACAAAATCCAAAAACTTTCATGATAAAAATACTCAATAAACTAGGAAAGGAAGAGAATTTCCTCAACCTGATAAAGGATCTATGAAAACCTGTTGGCTAACATCATACTCCCCATAGAATCAGGAACATGACAAGGATGTCTGTTCTCATCATTTCTACTCAACAGTACACCAGAGGTCCTAGTGAGATCAACTATGTAAGAAAAAGAAATAAAGGGCATCCAGATTGGAAAGGGGAAAGTAAAACTATTTATGCCTGCAGAAGACACAATCCTGTATATAGAAAATCTTAAGAATCCACACACACACAAAAAACAAACTGTTTGAGCTAATAAAGTTTGGCGGTCAGAAGGTACAAGATCAATATACAAAAATTAGTTATATTCCTACACACTAGCAATGAATGATCTGAAAATGAAATTAAGAAGACAATTCCATTTACAATCCCATCAAAAACAACAAAACACTAAGGAATAAACTCAACAAAAGAAGTCTAAGACTGAACTCAGAAAACTACAAAACATCTTTGAAAGAAATTAAAAACCTAAATATTTCGAAAGACATCTTATTTTCATAGATCAAAAGATTCACTTTTGTTAAGAAGCCAATTCTCCCCAAACTTATCTACAGATTATACACAATCTTTATCCAAATCCTAGCTGGCATTTTTGCAGAAATTAATAAGCTGATTCTCAAACTCCTAAGTAAATGCAAGTGGTACAGAATAGCCAAAACAGTCTTGAAAGAGATGAAAACTTTCAAAATTTACCAAAAAGCTGCAGTAATCAAGACAGTATGGTACCTGCATAAATAACGACATATAAGTCAACAGAAGAAAGATTTCAGAAATAAACTCTTACATTTATGGTCAAGTGACTTTCTACAAGGATGTCAAAGCAATTCAATGGGGGAAAGAATAGTCTTTTCAACAAATGGTAATAGAACAACTGGATATCCACATGCCAAAGAATGTAGTTGAACTCTTGTCTCATAGCATATACAAAAATCAACTTAAAATGGATCATAGATCTAAATGTAAGAGCTATACTACAAAGCTCTTAGAATAAAATATAAGACTAGGGGCCAGCCCAGTGGGGCAGTGGTTAAGTGCACACGTTCCACTTCGGCGGCCTGGGGTTCGCCGGTTTGGATCCCTGGTGCGGACATGGCACCACTTGGCAAGCCATGCTGAGGTAGGCGTCCCACATATAAAGTAGAGGAAGATGGGCATGGATGTTAGCTCAGGGCCAGTCTTCCGCAGCAAAAAGAGGAGGATTGGCAGCAGTTAACTCAGGGCTAATCTTCCTCAAAACAAAAAAAAAGTAAAAAAAAAAAAAAAATTTACTCTAAAAAAAATAAATTAATTAAATAAAATATAGGATTAAATCTTCATGACCTTGGGTTGGGCAATCGTTTCTTATATATGACACCAATGGACTACCCACAAAAGAAAAAAATAAATCGGACTTCATCAAAATTAAAACTTTCATGCATCAAAGGACATTGCATAGAAAGTGAAAAAACAACACAAGGAATGGGAGAAAATACTTGCAAATCACACAGCTGGTAAGGGTCTGGTATCCAGAATACATAAAGAACTCTTAAAACTCAACAACAAAAAAACAAACAAAAAATGGACAAGGATATTTAGACATTTTTCCAAAGAAGATATATAAAGGCCAACAAGCACATGAAAAGAATGCTCAACGTCGTTTAGTCATAAGAGAAATGCAAATCAAAACCATAATGAGGTAACACTTCACATCCACTAGGATGGTTAAAATCAACCAATCAATCAATCAATTAATTAATATAATAAGGGTGGGTGAGGAGGGATGTGGAAAAGTTGCACCTGCATACATTTCTAGTGGAAATGTAAAAGGATGCAGCTGCTTTGGAAAATAGTCTGGCAGTTCTTCAAAAAGTTAAACATAGAATTACCATATGACCCAGCAATTCTACTCTAGATATATACTCAAAAGAAACGAAATCACGTCTATCCAAAAACTGTACACAAATGTTCATAGCAGCACTATGCACAACAGCTAAAGATGGAAACAAGCCAAATATCATAAACTGAGAAGTAAATAAATATAATGTGGTATTATCCATACAATGGAATATTATTCAGGCATAAAAAGGAACAAAGTTCTGATATATGCTACAACATGGATGAACCTTGAAAACATCATGCTAAGCGCAAGAAGTCAGATACAAAAGGCCACATATTGTATGATTCTACTTATTTGAAACATCCAGAATAGGCAAACCCATAGAGTGAGAAAATAGATTAATGGTTGCTAAGGACTTGCAGAAGGGGGAATAATTGCTAATGGGTATGGGGTGTCTTTATGGGGAGATGAAAATGTTCTGCTTTAAACAGTTGCACAACCTTGTGAATATAGTGAAAAACACTGAATTGTAAACTTTCAAAAGGCAAATTTTATATTACGTGACTCTATCTCAATTTTTTAAAACTGTGCTAGTTCTGTGGTTGTGACCATAAAACTGAAGGGGTTTATAAAATCACCTCATCCTATTTCTCAGATTTTACGAAGAAACTGAGATACAAGGAGCAAAGCAGATTATCCATGGTCCTAAAGTTTGTTAACAGTACAGCTGGTAGTTACAAAAGATATTTCTACCTCAATTCTCAGAACATGTGAAAAACAAAAAAACAACCTCACTTTAACAAACAGATTTATTTACAAGAGACTACATCCTTTAAAATGTTATGTTAAAATCAGTGTCCTGAACCTCAATAAAATAATTGAAAAAAAAAAGGAAAAGAAAATGAGTGTCCTGAAATTCCAGTTCTCTTTTTAAGCTCCAGAACGTTGATTCTTAATCATTAATAAGTATTTTGTTAAAAGCAAAACAGAAACTTCACTGGTATTTTAAAAAGCACTCTGAATAGTTAAAAATTTACTCATTTATCATTCACAGTTTAATATATTTCAGAGATTTAATTAAACATTAGTTAATCAGGCTTTTAGAAAATCCCACAGCACCAAAGGTTTCAAATGCTGAGCCAATTCTGAAGTGCTTCAAATTCATGCAAAAATATTGGAATATATTTCATACTGAGTTTTTCAAAAGTTAAGACATTCCTACCATTTAGAGTTCAGGGTCTCTCCTTGAATCTGGGCAGAATTGTGGCTGCTTCAACCAACAGAGCATGGTGAAAGTGACCTTTCCAAATACGTGACCCAGAGAATCAGTGAGCTGATTAAAATGATTATTGTTCTATGGCACTTAATTTGGAGTGGTGCTTATATAGCAAAGATAACTAGAACAGCACATGTGACTTTTATAATAAAAACACGCAGCTCTTGTTCCCTCATGGTTCCTCTTTTCACAGCACTTTATAATCATACACATTCCTCCTCCCGCCCCAAAAAGCAGATAAGAAGATACAGGTATATATAAACATATCTATTTTTTAAAATAAGACAAGAAAATTACATAGCTTTTCAATCACCTGAAAATATAACCTAATATTCTGGTATGTTAAAGAATTCAAACTACCCCCAAAGGACATCATGGAGGTAGGTATAAACATCAGCTTAGGCTTCCAAAAATTGTGCGGTTCTCTAAGTTTGAATGCAATTCCAAACAACTTTTCCTGAATAGAAATGCCCTTAACAAGGTTTATCCTAAAGCAACCGTGTTCTCATTACCCAGCTCATTCTCATTAAGAATAGGTTTGGCCTTGTTGATAACTTAGAAGTCTCTCATATCGACCTAAAGGTCTTTGGACATCTCACCTTTTAAGTAAGAGACAAATTCTGGATCTGTCTATGCATACTGTGTGATCTTAAGGAAAAACAATTCTCTTGGGCCTTATCTGTATCTCACTTGATTTGATCGAGATGACTTTAAGGATTAAATGAGAAGACATGAAATGTCTTGAGCACAGTGTTAGGCACAAGAGACATAACACTTCTGAAATCTAACTTTAGGACTCAAGACTACTGCTTAGCAGCTGCAAAAGAGAATCACACACTGACAGTAATCATATGGATTTCTGAGTCCTATTTTGCAACTTTTAGTAGACTATATTAAATAAGTTAAGCATATTATGTAACATAACATCAATTTATGATAGAGTTTTCAGTAACAGACAAAGTAATTTAAGAATTTGTACCTTGATCAAATATTTCTCCCATCTGTCGGCTGTAACAGATTTGCCAATCTTCCTCATCAGCTTCAAATGGAGCTCCACTAATTCTTTTGGTACTTCAAAGGAAGAAAATATAATGTTAGCCAGGAAAATAAAACATTTGTAAATAGTTAAGATTATAAAAAAAGAACTTTGCCCAATGCTGAATACTTTTTCAAAATAGATGATGCGCATTTTAGCTATCATTTAGACCTCTCAATCAGAAAAGATTAAACTAGGGCAAGAAATAACTGAAAACCACTTTCTTAAAGATGAGCGGGAATATTCATGTTTTCTTTCAGAATATCATCAAGTCAGAGTGAACTTTAATGTAAGCAGTGGACCTCTGGGTGGTGATGACGTGTCAGTGTAGGCTCATCACTTGTAACCAATGCAGCACTGTGCTTGTGGATGTGGGGGAGGCTGTACATGTGTAGGTTCATCAGTTGTAACCAATGCAGCGCTGTGGATGTGGGGGAGGCTGTACATGTGTAGGCTCATCACTTGTAACCAATGCAGCACTGTGCTTGTGGATGTGGGGGAGGCTGTACATGTGTAGGTTCATCAGTTGTAACCAATGCAGCACTGTGCTTGTGGATGTGGGGGAGGCTGTACATGTGTTGGGGAAGAGGGTCTATGCGAACTCTCTGTATTTTGTGCTTAATTTCTCTGTGAATTTCAAACATAAAGTCTATTAAAAAAATCAAGTAAAAGTACTTAACCATATCACTAAAATTTCTACTCTGTTTGCTTCTCCTAACACATAATTGTTTTCTTTATGAGATTGCAGACCAAGACATAGATTCACAGAATTAGAAAGGAATCAAGGAACATAAATTCCAAAATGATGGATACCTCAGAATACAGGCTAATGGTTTTCAAATTGTTTCAGAAACCTACTCTTCCAATCTATCCCTTATCCAATGTGCTAAACTCCTCTACAGCACCCCTACAGAGTGTTTGCTTGACAACATCCAGGACAGAAAATTTACTTATCTTCAAAAGTTCTGATTATTAGAAGGTTACCCTTACACGAAGTCAAAATCTGCCTTCCTACACCTTCCTCCCTTGGTTCTTGCTCTTAATCTCTAGTTTCAAACACAATACTTTCAATTCCTCTTCTATTGGAACCTTCAAATATTTGAAGATTACTATATTCCCTCAGGTTCTCTATTCTAATTATAAACAAGAAAAGTTCCTTCAAATAGCTCCTGGGCGTGATCTGATTACGTCGTTTAACCATATTAATTAGACCTGAGGAAAATACGACATGCACACGCCTGTCAAATTCAGCATTTCCCAAATATCAAATACCACTAGTAACCTAGAAGAAATTACAGGTACGCTATCCAAAAAGGTTACATAATCAATACATTAGGAAAATACTAGATCCAAAAAAGAAAAAAAAAGTTTGTGTTTTACCACAGGACTTCTTGAAGTCTTTACCGATTGTCTTATTTGCATTGTGAATATCCAAGATAGGGATATAATTTGCAGCATTCTGTAATATATTTGATCAGAGAATCTCTTTCTGTGAAACACATAATATCTTATAGGATACAAGTGCTCTGAAATACAAGCTGGGAAATGATGGAGTAATCTTTTTCAGGCATTCTTTCAGATTTTTTATTCTCTACTAAAGCTACTTCTAACTTGAAATGCCCCTGAAGTATAAGAAAATATTTACCCATTTAACAAATTTCTGTGGGTCCGCTATTAGTAAGCAAGAAATAGTCTCTGCTCTTAATGAGCTTACTTAAGTGAGTCTTCCTAAAGGAGTAGATGGTGGGTGAGTTGGAGGTAAGAGGGAGCAGCACAGGAGGGTTGGGTATAGACAAGTAAATAGACAATTATACTAAGCCAAGAGCTGAAGTATGGGATTGAGGGTGGAGTGGAGAAAAGTGGGGAAGGACACTGCTTACAGAAGTTAACAGCAGATGCAAAAGGCTGAAAAACAAAGTGCTCGTGGAACTAAAGGAATGGACACAGAAAAAGGGCATAATCATGAAGAGCCTTATAAGGCCAGGCTAAGAAGTTTACATTTTCTTTAAAAGTTTAAGCAAGACAGTGCTCTGTAATCCAGAAAGACCTCAATGACTGAATTGCAGGAAAACAGACTGCTTTTATTTGCTTGTTTGTTTTAGGAGGTGGGGTGCAGGGCAGTGATTACATGTAAATTTAGGAAAATATCAATCCAGAAAGACGAGAGTAACCTGAACTAAGGTAGACGTCATACAGAGAGAAGTGGGAAGATCTGAGAAATGTTTAGGAAACAAACAATAAAATTTAGTGATTGACTGGTTATGCAAAGTGACAGAGAAAGAGACAAGAAAACCCGAGGCACTGGCTTAGCCAATGACAATATAGTAGGAAGAAAACGCCCTGGGCTCAATTCTCAGTTCCCTCACTTTAATACAAAGAGACCACGATTCTGCTCAAGTTCTTTAAACACCAAATCTCAAATTCCTCATCTATAACAAAGGGCTGCCTTGGCTGTCTTACAGTTTTAAAACTGCAAAACAGTATATGAAGCTAAAACACCTTTATTTTTACTTTTGTGGTGATATTTGGGGAACCAAGGTGAGTTTCAATTTCTCCTTTTCTTTTTTCTGCAAATACAGGTAGACTTTATGATTCAAGCCTTCTTGAATCTTGCCTTCCTACATCTCAAACCTGCTATTTCCCCCATTTCCTCTAAGATATCACTGTATCTTCTCACTTCAGAAAAATACCTATATTGGGGCCAGCATGTGAACTTAACCACTAAGCCATCGGGCCGGCACCTTGTGATTAAAACTTTTTTTTTTAACTTTTTTTCCCCCTGCTTTATCTCCCCAAATCCCCCCTGGTACATAGTTATATATCTTAGTTGTAGGTCCTTCTAGTTGTGGTATGTGGGATGCCGCCTCAACGTGGCCTGACGAGTGGTGCCATGTCCGCGCCCAGGATCCGAACCAGCAAAACCCTGGGCCACCGCATCAGAGCACGCGAACTTAATCGCTCGGCCACGGGGCCGGCCCCGTGATTACAACTTTTAAGATCTACTCCCTCAGCAACTTTCAAATATGCAATATAGTATAGTATTAACTGTAGTCACCATCTGTCCATTACATCTCCAGGACTTATTTACTTTATAACTGGGAGTTTATACCTTTTGACTCCCCCTTTACCCATTTTACATCTTTCTTTTTGTACTAAGTATTCAAAACATACTGTGCATTTTATACTTACAGCACATCTGAATTCACACTAGCCATACTTCAAGTGCTCAAAAGTCACTTATGGCTAGTGGCTACTGGATCGGATTACGTAGAGCTCGCATATTTAAAACTAAAATTTATAACCCACAATTTACTAACAATTTATTTATATATTTTTGAGATATAACTGACATATAACATTATATTAGTTTCAGGTGTACAACACAATGATTCGATATTTATATATATTGCAAAATGATCACCACAATTAGTTAACATTTGATTTATTTATTTTTTTTTGTTACAAATAGAACTGACAAGCTGATAACCCTTATGGACTATAGAAGCTGTCAATATTTTTTATTGATAAGAAACAAGAAAAACAAAGACAAAAATTAATCAACATTATAATTAAACTGAAAATATCAAAATTCCCATATTTTATATTCTCTAAAACAGGATTCTCTATTCAATAGAACATTCTAGGATGATGGAAATATTCTATATCTGTACTTTCCACCACAGTAGCCATTAGCTACATGTGACTATTGAGTACTTGATATGTGGCTAATAAAACTGAGGAACTAAACTTTTAATTTTATTTATTTTTAAATTAATTTAAATAGCCAAAAATGGCAAGTGGCTATGATTCTGGACAGTGCAGCTGTGAATTATCAATCATATTTTTAAAACATAGGATTATTTTCTAAAACATGCACTGACAATCTGTAAATTCACTTATTTATCACCTGGAACATTTTCTAAGTAGTCACATTTTCAGAACTTTAGGTAATTATTAACTTCATTCTAAAGAATTATCTACTAACCAACTTCATGTCATTCTGAAAAATAATAGGTTTTGTTCCAATTAAACCGCTCTCCACCTTTTCACGTGATAGATTTCATATGTAACCTTTAACAGAGCTGTTTCATTCACAAGGCCTCCGGAGATGAAAGACTCTGAAGCAGAAGAAAAGGTCGGGGCTGTGTGAATTCATGGAGGGTCTGCCAGGAGGATGCAGGTATGAAGCAGCAGAAAGTGGAAGAACCCCAGAGTGCATTACTGATCCAATCACTCAAAGATGCTCTATTATTTTGACATTTTTCTAAGCATCTTTGCAGCACCAAGCCTTAAGGATGCTGCTGCTTCTGCAATTCTAGTCTTGTTACTTATAATTCTGCTTTTTGAACGGCAAAATTTACGGCGGCTCACAATAACTAAATGACATAATTCTTCTCATTTCTCAGTAAAGTCTTTTACTCAAACTTCCTCTATGCTTATAAGCAGAGATACACTTAGTCACAAAAACAGCAGATTTTAGGGAGGCCATTGTTAAAAGAACACTGATTTCACATACAGTGATTGAAAGATAAGCTTACAATAAGCTTTTCCTTACTGCCCAGTTTTTACAAACTATGTTGGTGAAGCACAGTTTTAACAGTAATGAGAATGGTCCTACAGGCTGCTTGATCTTCGAAATAACTGTCCATATTTGTATACCTTATCTTCAAGGAGTTCATTTAACCAACCAGCCTGAAGTTTTCTGAAAAGCAAAGAAATGGCTCAAGACTATGAACTGTAACTTAGGCCACTATCTGAAAAGCTATACTTCAGAGATGCCAGGAAAAAATAATATAAATCACTAAGCTCAGCCTATTACCATTATGGAAAAAAATTAATCCAAGAATAGTTGTTATGCAGGCAGACAAACTATAGGGTATCTGCCGCTCCACTTTAGGATTTTGAGTTTTCACTGAGAATCATATTCACCATATGAAACACACCAAACATGGCTTAGATTATTTCAGAACCAAAACTGTGAAAATGTCTCTTCTACAAAGAAAAGTAATCTGTGTACAGTTGTCCCTTGACATCC